AAAGGAGACAGTAAAAGACAAAAGGAGACAGTAAAAGACAAAAGGAGACAGCGTATTTAATTAATATGTACCAGCTAATCCAGTAAGAAATTGCTGTCTTCACTTGCGTTTGCTGCAGCATCACTTCGCTCACCCAGACCCCATAAGCACTGCGCTTTGCTGTTGCTGCTGCTGCTGCTGCTGTTGCTGCTGCTGTTGCTGCTGTTGCTGCTGCTGTTGCTGCTGTTGCTGGTGTGGGTGCTTCTGCTGCTCCTGCTGCTGCTGCTTCTCCTGCTGCTGCTGCAAGGTCCTCCTCCTCTTCCTCAGACACCACCACCACCTCCCTCTTACAGCTGCTGCTGCTGTTGCTGCTGCTGTTGCTGCTGCTGTTGTTGCTGTTACCGTTGCTGCTGCTGTTGCTGCTGCTGCTGCTGCCTGTGGGTGTTTGCCCCTTCTCACTTGGCTTAGCTTTGAAGAACGACATGATGCTGGGCTGCTTCTGCTGCTGCTGCTGCTGCTTTCGCTTGTTAGGAGCAGCAGCAGCAGCAGCAGCAGCAGGTGCGCGGCTTATGGTCTCTTCGCGTGTCTCCCTCCAGCAAGTGTATGGCGGTGGGTCTCCTCTGCAGCAAAAACAAAAAGATCAGCTGCTGCTGCTGTTGTTGTTGCTCCTGCTGCTGCTGGTGCTGCTGTTGCAGCTGTTGCTTTTGCTGCTGCTGTTGTTGTTGCTGCTGCTGCTGCTGCTCTAAAAGACGGTATTGTTGAGGTGTACATACACTTCAGAGAGCTTTTGTCTCAGCTCGCAGGGGGCAAACAGCAGCAGCAGCAGCAAACATCGAGAAGCAGCAGCAGCTACCGAGCAGCAGCAGCAACGGCAGTAACAGCAACAGCAACGCAGCTCACAACAGAAACAGCAGCAGCAAGAAGCAGAAGACAAACAACAAGAAAAACAGCAACAGCAGCAGCATCAGCAGCAGCAGCAGAAGCAATAGCAGAAGCAGCCGAAACAGCAGAAGAAACAGCGACAGCAGCAGCAACAGCAGCAACACAAGCAGAAGCAGCAGCAACAAGAGCAGCAGCACCAGCAGCTGCAGCTACAAGGAGAGCAGCATCAACATCAGCAGCAGCAGCAGCAGCAACACACCTCCAGGGCAGCTTTCTGCGGTGTATGCTGAACCATCCCTTTAAAGCAGCAGCAAATGCTGCAGGCTGCATAAGGTGTACGTGGTAGCCGCAGCAACCAACAAAAGAAGCAGCAGCAGCAAGACCCCTAATGCTCTCTAGCTCTTCATCTCCTGCTGCAGCAGCAGCTGCTGCTGCTGCTGCTGGCGCAGCTGCTGCTGCTGCTGGATCGCTTGCTGCTGCTCCTGTGGCAGCTAGCGAGGCTCCTTCTGCTGCTATTGCTGCCGTTTCTTTTGTTGCTGCTGCAGTTGCTGCTGCTGGTGCTGCTGCTTCTGCTGTGGGAGAGGCACAAGTGTCTCCTTCTGCCTCTTCAGTTTCATCTAGAGACGCATGTTGTTCGTGCTTCGGCTGCTGCTGCTGCTGCTGCTGCTGCAGCTTCTTGCAGGCTTCACAGCTGCTGCTCTCACAATGTGGTGTCTCCTTCTTTTGTTTCTTTTTTATCCTTGAGGCCCCCGGTGCTTCCTTGGGGGCCCCCCGGCGGGGCCCCCTTCTTGCTGCTGCTGCTGTTGCTGCTGCTGCTGCTGTTGTTGCTGATGCTTCTGCTACTGCTGCTGCTGGGATTGAAGGCGCTGGTTCTGCTGCTGTTGCTGCAGCAGCAGCAATGAGTGATTCTGCCTTCATCGAGGTGCCTGCAGCAGAAGTAGATCTGCTGCTGCTGCTGCTGCTGCTGCTGTTGCTGCAGCAGCTGCTGCTGAAAGTATATTTTTATGCTGTCTTCTTCTTCTTAACTCTCTTTGCTGCTTCTTTTTTATTTTACTTTATTTTATTTCTTAAAAAAGAAGTGTTTATTGCTCTCAGCTGTTGATGTTGCACCTGCTGCAATGAGGCCCCTGGGGGCCCCCCTACGGTCGGAGGGGGCCCCCAGTGGTGGGGTTGCTGCTGCTGCTGCTGCTGCTGCTGCTGCTGCTGCTGCAGCAGCAGTATTATCGATGTAGATGGATATTATATGTATATATATATTTATCTATTTATATATTTATCTATTTATTTATTTATCTATTTATATATTTATATATTTATATATTTACACCTTCCGCCTGTTTTTGTTTGTTTTTGTTTGTTTATTTTATCTGTTTTTGTTTATTTATTTGCCTTCGTTCTACCTCCACATATATAAATATATATAAATATATAAATATAAATATAAATATATAAAATATATATATAAATATAGATAATATATATATTATATATATAATATACATACATATATATGCACATTGTTTTATTGTTTGCTTTTGTTTGTTTATTTTGTTAATATTTATATATTTTTATTTGTTATATTTTATTAATTGTTTGTCTTTTTTATTTTTATTTGTTCGCTTGGCGCCTCTCAAAATTA